AAAAAGATTTACTAATTTTTTGAAATACAGAAAGTGAAACTTTTGTTTATGCCATAATAATGCTTGAAAAATGCTTACGAGTTAATAATGTTTATAATATTTATATACTAAATTAATTTTAAACTAAATAATTCATTTCAATTATTTACATAATACAATCGAATATTTTAATTTAATAAACATTGCAAAGGTATTAAAAAAAATTTTTCCACATATAATACAATGGTTTATTTTATTATCGCCCGGAAAATAAAGATCAAGCAGCATAAATTGAACGATCATTTTTATTGCACCACGAAGAAATGAATTTTTTCGATACTTTTTGGAAAAAAAACTTCACAATTATTTTTCATAATTAATAATATATGTGTTACAATCAATTAAGTACAAATTCAAATCAATTACATATGAAATCAAATACGTATAAAATTTAGTAATCAATTACATATGAAATCAAATACGTATAAAGTTTATTCAGTTAATATGTCTATTAATTAATTATCAGCAAAAACAAATGATATTTACACAATTATTGACGAAAGATTCTTCGAAAAAATTTTTCACATCATATAATGATTTTGTACTAATCTAAAAAATAGAAGAAGACTGCAATCATCATTAATAATTATAAAAGTGATACAACATAATAAATAGTAAATATTTGAAAGTATTTACATGAATAAAGAAATATGAGTATTGAATTGTAGATAATGGATCGAATGTAACCTAATTCAAAACTTATCCCCCGATAATATTCCATAAAATCAATCAATCTAAACTCCCAATAGTGGTGATAGTGTTTGCCGTGTAAATATTTCCCCGTATGATCTGAAGAAATGTTTACAAACTTTCTACAAGTTTGCTGTCTGATCAAAATATTTAATACTATAAACATTAGCTGCAATAAAATTTTCGCACTTGATTTTCAAGAACTAAAATTTTTTTCGAATAATACAATGATTTTATTACCTCCCAGAAAGTAACGATCAATTCTTAGGAATAGCAATATGTTATGTTAATCAAACCTTAGTCTCCTTCTTATTTAATTAACTCTTTTTAAGTAATAACAGAAATATTTTAGATTTAAATTCGATCCATTATCTGTTATTCGATTCTCATATCTCACTTACAAAAGTATTTTCTATCTTTCATCAGCATTTTAACAGCCTTTATAGGTGTGAAAGCGTCCGCAAAAAAACTTCTTCCATATCAAAAATAACTTTAATTCAGTAAAAACAAGTAAAATCAAAACTCGTTCTCACTGTGATATTCTAAACAATCATAATACACTCTAGAAGACACTTTCAGATTGCAAATGACTCTTACCTTTTTAATAATTCTTCACAATTTTATTCTCTTACAAAAATTTTTGTATTATTGTTGAGATCAACATTCTCATTAATTAATTACTTAATTAATCAAGTTAATAATCCACATAATCCGATTATCTTCAGTTCATAAACTGTAGTTTATTTTCCGCATAATTTTCTAGCATAAATAAAAAATTTGACAAAATGCTAGAAATTAATTTAACTTCTAAGCAATCTGATAAAAAAGTAATCAAATTTTCAATAACCACAGTGCAACTAATTATGGTATGTAAACATCATCCTTTTAAGAAAACTGATGAATTTTTCATGATAATACTAATATCAATATTGATAACTTTCCAAAATTGTTACCTTTGCATATTATCATTATCATTGTTATTACTATCAATACTGATATCGCTATAATTATGATATTTTCATTTAATCATTCAATCTGCTTGGAAAAAATTTTGAATATGCAATTGATGAGTCAAAAAAATAATAATAATAATAAATAGTAATAATGAACACAATTAATAAATCATCAATTAAATGGCATTCCCAATTAAAGTTTGAGGTATTTCTTTTTATTTTTCGAAACATACCATTAGAGTTCACGGAATTATTCAAAAAATCCTTTAATGAAAACTTTCATATTAAAAATAAAAATAATAAATTAACGCAAGTCACACTTTGCATATACATATGCATACTATTTCCGAGCAAAGAAGTAACTGAATGACGAAGAATTTTTCTCCAGCCAATGCAACTTTTATCTAAAAAATAACTCTTGCAATTCTAAATATTTAACATTTTCAACCGACCTTTTCCCTCTAAAATAAAACAAACAATTATTAAATTCATATCAAATCATTCGCCTGAAATATTTTATTCAAAACGATCAGAATTGAAGGAAAGAATTTCTTATGAAAAGTTTACATAAGACTAATTTTGCTCATCTTTTCATTTCATTCACTTTTGTAAACTTCAGAAATAAAGTTATAACCATTCCGTTCATTTAATTTAAAAAAAATCAGTCTTTTTGATTAATTTTGATTTGTTTCACTTATTTTTCATCAATTTTAAGGTCAATAACAATTTGACAAGTTAAAAATGAATTAATTATAGGGTCAACAGCAATTTAATAAACTAAAAATAAATTAAAAAACCTTTTTCAGTGTTAGCCAAAAACCTTTACTAATCCAACGTACGTCACGATCAACATGTACTCTATAGAAATCATCACTGTTATTTAATCAAGATTATATTCATATAAATCACTGCAAAACTTTCTACAAGTCAGCAGTTGCTTTTTTGTTTATCAAAATTAATTATGCATAAAATTATACCAAAATATTATCAAAAAAAAAAAAAATGCAATACTGACAACATTCTTGCGATGTTAAAAAATTAAGACCAATTTAACTTATATTTTTAGATTTAACAAGATACGAAATTTTTAAAAAAAAGAAAAAGAATTTATAGAATTAATAAGCAAATCAGTGATTTTGTATTTTTAATTAGTCAAAATTACCAAAAAACCAACTTTAGCACCACAATCACTCAATGCTTTATTGCTCACCAAAATTAATCCCTCAAACTTCAACAAACACTTATTTGAAAAATAAAATGCAACGTGTTAAAATCAAAAAACCCAGTAAAAACCAATCACTTATAACTATCAACCCCAATAATGACAGCAAAACCTACCCTTCTGATTACGAGAAATAACTTTATAAATTCTAAAAATTATTAGTGTTCTGAATAAATTTTAAAAGTCTGAACAACACATTATGAATCAAAAACTAATACTTCATACATAGGAGAGCTTCAAAGAACAGACGAGCTTGCACAAAGCATACTGCAATATGTGAGTACTCGTAAAACCAGTTTCTCACCCAACTGTCCTTCAATAACCTCGTCAAGACTTGTTTTTACGTGAAAATGGGAGATTCGAACAAATGATTAATCAATCTACTAATCTACGCATTCAATTACATGCATTAGACTTGAGAAGCAACAAATCATGACAAATTACAACCTTACATTTGCAACATTTATAATCAATGTATATCTCAAACTTATAATTTTCTCCCTCGATCATATCTGCTTTATCATTAATCAAATGCATCCTTGTCAGAAACAAATTGTCAGAGTATTAACAAATAAGTTGCTGAGATATTTACATTTTCATGCATTACTGACTGTATTTTCCAATGAAACTGTCAAAATTGTTCAGACATACTTTTTGCCAACGATTATTTGGAGCAGAAATTGAATGCCGACGTGAACTGAAGAAAACCTTAATTCAACAGCTATAAAAGGTCAAGATAAACCCCAGACAAGTAAACAATATCTGCAAAATGTTACAGTATCCAAAATTTCTCTTACTGATAAAATCTATTCCGATTTCTTTTCACGGTATTGATATTTAATTTGCTACCAAAAAAAGCTCAAAGAAAAATTGCAAGTTATGTCTACTATCGTTAGAGAAAATTGGAACAATCTCTACAACCAACCTATTAGATCATAATTAAAAAAAATTTTATATGTAATTAAAAATATATAGCGCTGCTGCACTTTTAACGATTGAATCACCAAATCAAAAACAAACTGTATTTATAAAAATTACACTCTAAAAGATCATCATGAAATTGCACAAAAAAAACCATGCATATTTTTAATATTTTTAATTTAAAATGCA